GGCATGACGGTGATTGGAATTGCCAAGTGCTGGTCCCCTTTGGTGCAATGCCCTCGGCTGTCTGCTTCGGGGCGTCGGGCGGCCTGTGGTGTTTTCCGTTGTCTTCTTTTTTCTGAAAATAAACTAGATTAAGATTTTGGTTAGTTAAATGGTGATTACGCGGTTATTTGCCATTGGGGCGGAGCGGGTGGGAGTGGCTCCGGTACGTCGACCCGCTGTCCGGTTGGTGGTTGTTTGCTTAAGGCTGTCCTTAAAGATGGCGGCTTGTTTGGTGGGTTCTTTCTGTGGCTATTAGAATTGGCGGCGGCCTCGTCTCCTGGGAGTGCCGTTATTCCAATTTTTCTTGCGAATTTGGATCAGGGCCGCATTAAATTCGTCATAGAATTGGTCACGAAGTCGGCCCGCTTCTGTTTCTTCTGGTGTTTTGTCTTTTTTATTGACGGTTTCCCAGTGGTATTTAACGCAGTAGCGCCTACTTTCTTCGTCGTACACCAGCTTGGTGCGGGAAAGCATGCTCGTTGTATTCTTCAAGCAATGCCTCGAGGTCAGCCTCGCAAGTTGCGTCAGCTACTGGTTTCAGGCTGCTGAGTGGGGTGACTGCCTGCCTGGTGGCTGTCTCCTCGCTTGGTTCTTCGTTCATATCGGGGTCTGTCATCTGTTCCTGGTGCTGCATCACTACCGCTTCGGTAAGTGTGCTTTTGTCGGTATTTGGTTGTTTTACAGTTTTGCTGGAGGCCCTCTCTTGCTTTCTCCAGCAGGGCGCGCTCTGTTCTTGCCGCCAGCACTGCAGCTTCTGCTTCTGCTTTTGTCTGGATCATAAGAGTGACTTCTTTGTAAGTGCTCTCGCGGGCTTCCCTAAGTGCGTCGGTTTCTTTTCGTCTCTCCTCCCTTTCTTCCTGTCGGCGGGTCTCGTCTGCAGCTTTTTCTGTTTGTAATTTTAGCGTCATTTCTGTCAGGTTTTCTTGCATTCGTGCAGCCTCTGCTAGCCACTTTGTTTGCTGCAATACTTGTTCTTGTCTGTCGTCTTTCAATGCTTTGATTTCGTCGCGCATCTGAGAGATCAGGTCTAGCATCTGCGTTCTGTCAGCGTCGGTGTCGGACTTTTCTTTGCGGAGAGCTCTGATTTCCGCTAAGATTTCAGAGATTTTTTCAGGGTCCATTGCGGCTGTGATCGTCTTGTCGGTTAGTCTGTCTGTTGTCCGTTGTGCTGGCTTCCCACTCGGTTGCTTTGGTGCTGCTGAGGACCTGGGTGCCACGTATCTCTGTCTGGCTGCTTCGTGGGTGGTTCTAAGTGACCTTTTGCACTGCTGGAGATACGGGCAGCCCATGTACCAAATGAAGAAAGAGGAGAAACCGTTAAAACAGTAAAATGTATCACTGCTTTGGAAAAACCCAAACGTAGTCTCTAATTTATATGCTCATCATCATCAGGTGCCTTGACTGGCGTAGGCGATCATGCCTCTCCATAATCCACAATCTCCTGCAGCATGTATCATTTCGTGTGCCGACACACCTCCATGCCATGCAACAAGACTGTCAAGAATCTTCTCTCGTTGTCTTCCTCTATCCCTCACTCCACAGTGGTTACAACATGTTCTATTTTCCCTCTTCTCATAACATGGCCGAAAAAATGATGACTGTCTTCTTCTGATGTCTGTGATAAGTTGTCTTCGGGCTCCCGCCTCTTTCAAAACCTCTTAGTTGCTCTTTTTGGCTGTCAGTTTATTTACTACAGAATAAATATGTTAGTTGCGTATCCTTTACAGGACGTTGCAGAACCAACCCCAGCATTGGCTGTTGTGGTTTTTCCAGGCAAATTCACGTCCAGTAGTTTGCGATTGCCCCTGGACGGTCGGCTTCTCGATACCACTATAGAAACCAACGCAAGGCCCACATCTGGGATCGAACCCGGCATTACGAAAAGCAGGCGCAATGCCTTCGCTACAGACGCCGACACAGAATAAACAAGCAACTATATTAATTACAACTAAAAATATGCAAACCAGGGTAGACCTTATGAGAACCAAAGTTCCAGAAACACCCTGAATGAAACGATCAAGCTGAATGTGACAGAGAACCACTACGGTCTCAAATTTGTGGTCAGACTACCGTATCTAGTCGTCTAGTGTTATTTCGACTTTCTGGCCCGTAACATGACACGGTCAATTCGATCATTATTATTTGATGGATGCGGTGGCGTGTGTCGATATTCTCAACAGTCCTCGTTGAATAATACCGTGTTAGTTATTGCAAGTAGACTAGAAGTACGAGTTCGAAGTTATAAAAATAATATGCGCTGGGCACATGACAGTATCTGCAAACATGGACTATGTAGTAACAAAGCGCACAGGGAGCTTTCCTTGGCCTTCAAGACAGGGAAACATGGGTTAGATTAAAAAAAAACAACATACAAACTGAGATAATCTAATAGAAATAAATATGTTGAAAAAAAAAAAAAAACACTAAAGGAAAATGTAGACAATACACCAATCTTTTGGTGCCTCTTATAACAAATAGGGCAAGTTAGCATTATAATTGTTTGCTTTCTTTGTACAGCTTGAAAAAACACAGGGGGAAACCACATAGTTTTGTCTAGTAACCAAAAGGTATTGGGTTCGAATACACAACAAAATGGATTTGTTATAACTGACCTTGGCTCCCAGGTCCTCCTCCTTTTACTGTTTTGGGGTCGAGGGGGATATACTTGTTTCTCTGGCCACTTCGACTCTAGTCACATCATGCTGGTGCAGAGTTTTTAGATGTATTTTACTCTTGGTCTACTCCTCTTTTGGTGTATATTTTGTACAGTATGATTTAACAAGGTATTCTCTCTCTTTAGGGGCAAACCATTGTATTTGCTGTTTTTGTATGTGATTTAGAATTGCCGCAGTGCCAACAATTTTACTTTTGATTTCATTTCCGTTTTTATCTCTTGTGTTCACCCCTGCAGGATTTCTCAGACATCTCAAGTCTTTGGTTTCTTTTCTTCTGGTTTGTTGTGAGTGACCATGTCTGCCACTGGTAGCATAGGGTAGGAGTGAATATGATTTGAATGAGATGTTTGTTTGTACTGATTGGGACCACCTTATGCTGTAAGATAGGAGCTAGTTGTCCCAATATTTGGCTCGTTTTACTGCACAAGATGTTAATTACTTCATTCAATTTGCCATCTTCGGTGAATACTGTTCCCATATATTTAAACTTTTTTGGGGGGCCTTTTTGACACATTTGCTGCTATATTATAAGTTCTCTTTATTTCTTCCCATTCACATTACTTTTAATTTTTAGTGTTGAGTCTTCTTTCTCTGAAGATGAAATATTTTGGTCATATCAAGCCCCATGACGGATTGAAAAAAATTATAGCAGAAAGCATGGTACCAGGAAGTAGGGGCAGGGGCCGACCGACACGAAGATGGGCACAGGATACAAGTGACTCCTTGAGTGTGAAAGTACATGAGGTGGAAGAAGTGAAAGACAGAGCTTCTTTCAGGCAGACTGTGATGAGAGTGACGTTCTGCAAAGGACTTACTACATGATGATGAGTGTTGATTCTCACATTTGTTTCAGTCCTTATGAATGTTAGATGCTGCAATTTCAGTATTTTCTATCAAGACCTAGTCACCAGCACTTACTACACAATGAGCCATTGCTTTCTTTAATACTTCTAATTGCTTTTGCCTGGTTTATGAATGTTGAATGCCCTCTCTCGGTCTATGAATGTCACAAACAGTTTATCATATTTATTAATACTTTGAATTAATAGTTTAAGTGTGAAGACTGCATTTTTTTCTTCCACTAAGTGTGGTTCTATCACTGGTGTCAGCCTTCTTTCTATTCTATTGTCTCGAAATTTAAAAAAAAAAGACAAAAAATGCAGTTTGACACAAAAGAGACACCTCCAATATCCATTCAGTCTAAAATTGAAGGTCACTTCCAGGAACTGTCCTAGGAAGTAAAGGAGGCTGACATGATGTCGACCACATCCGAGTGCTCACTTATTTATAAAAATACAAGTATAGAATCAAATGACTGATGCACCGCTGGCATTTAATGGATACTTGACTTTACTAAAACATCTTCTTCATGTTTACCAGCTGATTTGATTCTTTGCATGCAGACCATTATTGCACTCTGAAGAAAGCCCAATTAGTAGACTTCCATGACTTGGTTTTTGGCAGGCTGTGGGTCTAACCGCCTCCCCCTCCCAATAGGCTCCTAGGGGAACTAAAACTACATGATACAATAACATGAAAACAACAAAAATCATAACTTTGAATCAACAATGTATTCTATTCAATATATACACTCACAATTTCACCTTGCTATGGAAACAGAAGCCATGGCAATGCACTAGCTTGCATGCTAGTCAGTCAGTGCTTATGTGTTCAAATCCCCTTCAAAGCAGAGATACCTACCCCCCCCCCTCTTTTTCCACTTCATGTTATCTGTCTTTCAAGATTAACCTAGTCTCAAATGGGTACCAGTAAGTATTTCTGGAAGTAAAGGCAGCTGACAAGATTCTGACCCACTTGTACTGGTTAGCACCATATACTCTTCTTCTTTTATTGTCCAACTGATAAGGGTTGTAGCCCAGAGTCATAGTTTTCTGTATTTGTTTTGCATTAGAAAGAGCACAGAGGAGATCTGTACACCTCCCACCAACACTTCAATAAGTAATTGGGGAAGAGAAGAAGATGATTCATGATGAAACTTTATTTCACCATAGTAACAATGAAGTCCCATTTCCAAGCTTGAGACACATTAAGTAAATGGTGCTTACCCTTATTTGCTTACATACCAATCTGGTACGATGGGTGATATGGTTAATATTACCGCAGCCACCTTGACTTCTAAAGAACGTTTTTTTTAACCCATTACACACACTGGGTTAATCTTTAAATAAAAAAAACACATTACCTTAGTTGAGGATTCGAAACTATAACCACGAGGCCAGCAAATTAATTACATAAATGTTAGTAACTCTAATACTGTAACCAAGGCTACAATGCTACATTAACCGCACTCTGCTGTTTGGCTAATACACCTAAAGCATCTAACAAACTTTTGCCTTCCAAGCTGAGCACTCCACCACTGTTTACCCCCTCACTTTCAACACCCAGCATAGGCTCCGAATGGTTGTAACTGTTTTCAGCAGTTTCACCTAATGAAGGTTTGCTGTTGAAAACAGAAGACACTGCCTGGCTATCACTGACTGCAAACAAGAGATCCAAGGAACCCATGACCTCCTGGACACTGGTCATCAGCTTGACCTCTGTGTTGACAAGCTCTTTTATTTTCAGCAGCAGGGTGACAAGGGGCCCACTGTTCATCAACTCTGAGATGCCATAGATGTCTGTGGAAAGGAAACAGTCATGGTATATTTTTGAAGGGTCAAAAGTGCCACATGGTGACTTTTATTCTAAGCATGTTCAGATGGTATGATGAACTAGTTTAGAGGTGATGTTATAGATGCCCGTAGAAAGGGGCACAGTCATGATATATTTATGAACAAGCCAAATTACCACATGGTAACTTTTATTCTATGCACGTTTAATTAGAAGCAGAGTGTAATGATCCAGTGTGGAGAAGTATAAAATAAACAAGTTACTCCCCATGCCAAAACACAGTCAAGGGAAAGTTATAACACCAAAGACCAAATGGGCTAATACTCTGAATAACTTCTGATTAGACCAGCCCCATAGGTCCCTCCAGAAATTCAGCCATTAGAAATGGAACTGGATATCTACTGTGAATTAATATCTACAGAGGAAACTAGGAAAGCTGTTAACATCCTGAAAGAATGAAAGGCACTAGGTCCAGGATTATATTCTAGCAAAAGTTCAGAACAATATAAACACATCTACAGAATCGCTACAAAAATTATTTAGTAAGGTATGGGAGACTGAAGAAATACCAGCAGACTGTAGAAAGTGACATTTGATTAAACTGCCCTACCCCTTTCTGCTCCCAAAGACGACCTGCAGAAGGGTAAAAAAATATAGGGCAATTATGTAACAGTCAGTTCCTGGCAAATTATCAAGTTGGATCATTAATAGTCATTTGGAAAGACAAAGATGCCACAGACAAACAGTCAAGGGATGAAAAGGTAGGTTTCCTTTCAATCCGATCTTATACTGACCAGATAGTTTTCTTCCAAACAGATCTTGTACTGACAGACAGCCACATTATGCATAATAACAGAGCAAAGTTGATTTCATCACTTTAGACTGGATTTGTAAACTACAAAAACACCCTTGACAACATAGAGAATATCTCAAGAAACTGATGTGGCCCACTATGGAATCCCACATAAAATTATTAGCTAGTGAATCTAACATTTAAAAACATGGATATGCGAAGTTCTTTAAGAAGGAAAACTAACAGATTCACATGAAATATGAGTAGGTGTACAAAAAGGATGCCTCTTGTCCCCTCTATTATTTTACTGGCAATAGATTATGAAGGGATGCCTCTTGTCTCCTCTATTATTTTACTGGCAATAGATTATAAAGACAACAGCTACCACCAGGTACAGAATTCAATGGACCAAACAGAACATCTTGATATTTTACTGTATTCTACTCACAATATCAGACATATGATAAATTACACAGGCCTGATAAAAGATCACTACAATTAGGTCTAAACATCCATAGAGGAAGGATTAGGATTATGAGAACAAACCAGGCAAACAATATTCCAATTCTCTAGGTGATATCCCGCTCCAAGATGTGGAGTCAAACAACTATACAGACAGTAATGTACTTAAAGATGGGAGAACTGATAGAGATAAAAAAAATGAATCTAAAAGGCAAGAGGAGTTTCCATAATAATAAAAAAATCTTTAGAAGTCAAAGGAAATTAAAAATAATATAAAAGTTAAAATATTGAGCTCTAATGTCAAGAGCTTAAACATGGAGAACAACTAAAACAATTACTAATACACTGCAAACATTCTTTAACTGGTGGCTACACAGAAAAGTGATTTAAATAGCATGGTAGAATGACTAATGTGGAGCTTCGGGAGAGAATAAAGTAAATTCTGGGCAGTCAAGAGGTGAAGAAATGATGCTGGTGTTGGATAGGACACACACTGATACAGATAAATTTTAAAAAATCTAATTAGAATGTCTTTGCACCCTACACAGATAGAGAAATAGGCAGACCCCTCTCTCCACGCACCCACCCCCCATTAAAAGTTAACAAGACAGGGAGGACATGGGGTCAGCTGCATCAATAGCAAAGGACAGGATGACTTGGCATGAGTTTTTTGAGGGCCTATACTTCATTTGGGTTAGGCGGGGGGGGGGGGGGGGGGGGGGGGGGTGTAATACTGGGCACAATAAGAAGTAACACAGTCACATATTTTACTTGCAGTTATTACCTAAAACAAGGTTGAAAACATCCATCAGTGTACACATGAAGGCAGGATTGCTCAGATTCCTATTTGTTTAGAAATAAAGCAGAATTAATCAAACCATTAACATTAAGGATTTATCAAATCAACATGGCAAATTTCACATAAATAAAAAGAATCAAAAATAATTAAAACAGAATCTAGAAATGAGCATATATTACGAAATGAACACATTAAATCATGCAGTTCCAAACAACGCAAGATGAGTGATCTGCCCTTCTCCATGTGTTCTCAACATCATGTTATGCGTCTTCTTACTTGTGAGGGGTTCTGGCAGATGCTCGAGGCTCAGAGGAAAGGCAAGACGAAACGCTTAATCAAAAAGCTACTGGCACCATTAGTATCGGAACTCTGCACTGGCTGCTGAAGATGGGGACGGAGCACTTATGGGAATGCCCCGAGTGCTGTGATGTTGGTTCTTGAATCAACTCGGCTTTTTACTTTCAGGAAAATATCAGCTTTTATCATATGGAGTTCTTGTACGGCACAGGTATAGTGCAGTGCTGTGTGGGTGAAAAGAATGCGGATGCGCATGCAACATTTTCTGGAGGTGATGGAGTTCTTCTTCTTCTTCTTCTTTGCGTTCACCAGCTGTAAACTCTGGCGGAAGGTTCTGGTTGCTCGTCCACTACTGAACTGCAGTCCTGCTCCAGAACCTGAGTGTTGCGTGTGCATCAGTTTTACAGATCTCATTCTCTTGAATACAGACTGTTGGTTCCTTGCCTCTCCGGCAGGTGCACTCCGACTTCAAAGGAAGCTCCCCCATTAGTCGACTCTTACGACATGCTTTTGGGGAGGCAGTGGGTCTATTCTTGTTTTCCCCACAATGGGGCCCCGGAACCCACACGGGGGAGGTGATGGAGTTGAAAGACATGGACGGCTCATAACCAAACCTACAGCCAGATTTTAGCTGAGAATTTCAGACAGGTATAAAGTAACTGTCGTACTAAAAGTATTTCTGCAGTGAAAACTTCCAGAACAGTCAAATTCAGGTGAAACAATGTGGAAACAAACAGCTGATTTCTTACAAGGGACAGACAATCATGAACAATGTCCCTGAGAATTTGATTACAATCATCGTAATCCTAAATCAATCAGTCAATCACTACTGACAATTTGAAACAAAAGATACATGCCTCATGCCTTACTAACTGACACTAGCTGGGGACTCAAATTATTACATCCCTGCTAGGACTAACATTTTGCTCACATTTGAAAAAAAAAAAAAATGCCATTACTGACATATTACTGCAGAATAGGCCTTTGAGCTTTGGAATTTAAGCCCACATTTTATTTTCCTCTTTAACAGAAACAAATCCAACCTTACAGAGGAATCAAACCTGAATCTCCCACTTTTCATGTAAAAACGGGATGTTATTCTTAAGTTAGTGTGTGTTAATGAGGTTTTACAGTATCTAAGATTAAGCAGCATCTAAGATCTTCTACAGGATGAACAAGCTTGTTTCACATCAACCCTTCCTAGTCACCTCTTCAAAAGTGTATGGTAGCTTTTACTTTACTACTGTTCGCTTACTATTTGGATTTTGGCACACCCTGAGGGAATAATATACTGTAACTAATTATTTCTAAATTGGAGTGTTACATTTACTTAATTAACAATCAAAGCAATAGTTCTCAATTGTAAATTTCAACAAAGCAAATACTACAAATTTGCCAAATGGTTAACAACACTTAGCTCTCATCAGGAAAGCCAGAAAAGAAACCTCAGTAAGGTGATGAATTTTATTGTTAAGCGCAAAAATAACATCTGAATCTGCAGTGACTGTGCCATCCATACAGCCTTTAAATCCCCAGCCTCAAGATCCCCTGACCTATACCACTCTAAAAGTGGTACACACAGTAGATACAGACAATGAGGACAGTTTTAGGACAATGACAACAGACTGCACAATTTACTGCCTGGCATTTGGAATGTGACTGTCCCTGTGTGGATTCCGGGGTCCCATTGTGGGGGAAAACAAGAATAGATCGACCCACTGGCTCCCCAACAAGCACACCATAGCAGTCCACTAACTGGAAGCTTACTTCAAAGTCAAGAGTGCACCTGCCCGAGCGGCAGGGAACAATATAGACCACTAAAATGGATGTACATACAAAACTCAGGGCAGGGGCAGAAAGTCAAAGTCGAAATGGACGATCAACCAGGACTTTCTGCTGAGACTTATAGGCAGTGAACAGAGAAGAAGAAGAAGGAATATCATTGGAAACTTGCATTTAACCTGGTTAAGTACAAGTGCATATTTGGATTTTCAGTTAAAAGGATTAATTTATCGGCTTTATATTGTCTGATTTCTGTAGTATATACCTGACGTAATACAGTGAAATGTGCCTGAAAATAAACTATGCAATGTGTTATATCTGCCTTCTTTGTTCAAATTTATTTTATCTTCTACTGTAAAAGCTGAGTTTTAAGTAGTTTCCTGTATTTTACTAGTTGTGTAGCTTGTGTTTACGTTGAAGCTAAAGACATGAAATAAACAAAAGAAGAAATAGTATAAGTGCTAGCAACACAACAAAAGAAAGTATTACTTGTGGATAAATGTCAGGACACAGGACAGACTGGCATCATCACGGCCTGACAGAGCCGTCTCAATATGGCCTCGTCGTATCAATTCCTGCATGACACCAACTGTCACTTCTGGACTTTTTTTGGCAATCCTTGGCTTTTATTTTGAATAAAACAAAAATTCATACACATATAGATACATTTACAGCAAATGAAGGTTTATTTTGACCTAAAATGTCAATTTCTCGATAACAGGTATTGTCTAGGAAACTCAATCAGCGAATGTGTAGACAGGGTTATTCAACTGGCAGCCTGTGGAGGCCTAGCAACTGGCCCGTGGAGGCCTAGCAAGTAGCCCGCAGATAACTGCCAGCTGTATAGTATTAATGCTATTTTTATGATGAGGCTCGGGCCTCTGAGGATCCACATTTTTAGCTGAACAACCCTGGTGTAGATAAAACTACTCCTGGACTGATGGCATCATACAGCGAGAAAGCAAAAGCTAATCGACGTTGCTTGGTGAAGCGAAGTCTGGCATATGATATCACAATGTCTAGTTTCAAAATGGAGGTGGAGGCAGCCACTGCTGCTTTCCACTGGCATGAGAATCAGCTGTACACATACGCCGTGATTGTAACTGACTCACAGAGCATGCTGAGAAAGGTGGAGACAGGCATGCTCCGTGCAATGTATCAAGCATCACTTCGGGAGGTTCAAGGTAATTAGCATCCTTTGGATATTTTCTCCAGTCATGCTGGTGTGCTGGAAAATGAGTAGAGAGATAGACTGGCCGGTACTGCACCGCTTGGTGGTAAGCTGATGTATGATAAGCTGGATGTTGTGAGGGCTCTTTGGGAGCAATTTAACAGTGCAAAGGAACAGATAGATCATTACAGTCTGGGAAGAATGGTGCTGTGAGGAGTTAAAAGGGGATCTAGCCAGCGCTCAACACTCAGGGAAAAGGTGAGACGGAATTACATTCAGACAGTTACTGGTGGCATTAGAATCGGAACTCTTCGTTTGCTGCTGATGATGGGGACAGAGCGCTTTTGTGGGTGTCCCTAGTGCTGTGATGTTGATTTTTAATTCAACACTGAGGAAGCAACAGCAATGCCAGACTTGTTTGTTTTATTGAAGGTGATAATTTGATCCTGACTGAAACAATCTATGATGGCACAAAGATACACACAGACATACTACTATATCTGTTTTTTTCTCTCGAGGCTGCTATCAGAAGATCTGACCATTCATGTGGCTCAGCAGTCATTTTAGTTGATGGCAACCCCATAAGGTAAAGGCCAGATACTCTGCTTAGCCTTCTAAAAAGCTATAATCACAATTCCCAGACAAGGCTACACGAAGTAACACCCTGGTAAAACCTGTCTTGGGCAAGAAAGATGAACACACATAGTCTGACAATTACATAAGACTTTTACTATGAACAAATTATGAGAAATTTTATTATGGAAAAAAAAAAATGATATCCATGAAGCAAAGCATCTCATTCAAACTGCCACCATTCATCTATGATGTGCCAAAACTATAATGCAGCCTAGTCAGTGGACGATAAGTAACCTGCCATTTTGTTCAGATCAGCTACTGAAAGTTGCATTGTAGCATATGCAGCATGAGCCAAGGATGAACACTTTTCAGTTCAACATACTTATCTCATCATCCTCACAGTCAAGACATCAAGTCTTCACAGATTTATTCTCTGACTTTAGCAGTAGGTTTATCATTATAAACAGAAAATGGACATTGCAGCCCAAATCTTTTCTAAACCAGTTGTGATCTATGAAAACCACTTCTAACACAGAAACTTTTTCATGTTATGATGCTAAACAAACTAACCTCTTCATGACTGGCTTCCCCCTGCATCTTCCTCCCTATTTTTCCTGTTGTCATGATATGCCCCCGTTTTCCCTTTCTCATGATATTTACCAAGAATGTGGAATAGCTTCCTCTGATGAAGGTTATCTGTTCTTTTTATGAGTTAATTTCTTTGGACCTCTTCATTAGACCTTATCTGTCCAGTGTATTCTCATAATCCTTCTATAAAATGACACCTCTGCAGCCACATAATTTTCCATGTTTCTCCTATGAGTAATAACACTGTAGAAATGTGAATAATATGCAGATAAACTAAGGAAGGTTTAAGGATACATACGTGGATGGCAACATCTAGAGCTCTGGTGTGGTTAAAAGACTTCAGATGTCTGTCGTAGGGTGCCAGGATTTCCCGTTTCTTTAAAGCCACAATGCTGTCAGTCTGCATAAGAAAAAAAAAAAAGACATTGTAAGAACAGCCTGGTGTCTTCTTCCTTCGCTGTGAACTCCAGTGGAAAGTTCTGGTTGTTCATCTACTTCTGGACTGCAGTCCTGTTCCAGAACCGAAGTGTTGCGTGTGCATCTATGTTACAGATCTAACTCATTTGTATGCAGACTGCTGGTTCCTTGCCTCACAGGCAGATGCACTCTGACTTCGAAGGAAGCTCCCAATTAGTCGATTCTTATGACATGCTTTTGGGTAAGCATTTCCCTACAATAGGGCCCCGGAACCCACATGGAGAAGCCTGGTATCAAATTAATTAACTTTTACATGTATACTATCAATATAAGATGCAATGTGTAGTGACAATAAAAGAAAATGCAGTGGGGTTGCACAGAAAGACTTGAGATGTCCTTGTGGCATGTGTGTTTGTGTGTGTGTGTGAGGGAGGGAGGGAGGGAGGGAGAGAGAGAGAGAGAGAGAGGAGAGAGAGAGAGAGAGAGAGAGAGAGAGGAGAGAGAGAGAGAGAGAGAGAGAGAGAGAGAGAGAGAGAGAGAGAGAGAGAGAGAGAGAGAGAGACCGACCCACTCACTGGAAACTAAAAGAAGATACAAACAAGTCTCAATAATAAATATACAGATCTCTAGCTACAGGCTTCGGTCAGAAGGATTTAAACACATACATAGGTGCTCTGTCGACAACATACCTTGCTGGGCACAAACGTCTTCACCAAATGTGACTGACCCCTGCGTCTCTTGTTACTGACGTTAGTCTGTGGTTTGGGTTCTGTTTCTTGTTTTCTTCGTTGTATGGATAACATTTTGTCCGTCATGCCAACAACAAGCAACTGGTCATCTGGCTGTAAATAAAAAAAAGTGATTTAGTTCCGGAAAGGACAAATTAATATGTGATCTTTTTCTCTGGCCTTTGCCTCGGCACACTGTGTTGTGGTTTACAACCTGGCTGCGATACCTGCACCTTTTGACCCAAAACATCCAATTAAAGTCATGAGTCTATTGCCCTACCCCCAAATGGGACTTAAAAAAAGGAACAAAACAAAACAGACAACAAAGCAAACAATTCCTCTACTAGAAAGTATTATTACATCGCCTGCAAATATAGTGGCTTGAATTTTTGTTTCTTATTTTTTTGTGTAAGTTGCCCTTAGAAAGGCAAATGGCACACTGTTTTGTACTTTACAAGTGGATATTTGGGCCTTTCAGCCCAACAGATCACATTTTAGCAAAATTATAATTAGTCAGTCAGAGATGCAGTGTCCAGACAGCTTTTGGCAACCATAAGCCTACCCCCAATGCATGAGTGATGTCTACAGAGCTCTCCCTGTACAATGAGTGAGGCTGACTGGCTGAGCCGAGTCTATATGACTTAGGACAAATGTCTTTTCAAAAAGTCCTACCACCTACCACATGGTTACACTGTGATGCTGATGACATCACCCACCATGTGTCGATTGGTCTATAAAATACAGGTCTAGCCCTATCTGCCCAATACAAATGAAGGCGTGGAAAAGGGTCCTTTGCATGACTAGTTCTCCTAGAGATAGGATATATGAATCTTCCAAAGTTATAGTGCATCTGCTAGATAGCAAGGCAACAGCTGTCTGTAGGTAAGATTGCCTGTTTGCAGTTGTGAAACGATGCGCGCACAAATCTCAGGTCCTAGAATAAAGCTAAAAGGTCTTGAAATTCATGTAACAACCAAATATAGCTTTAACGTGACAAAGGGATATAACTACATATTTATCTGGCGAACATAGGGAATGCATTTCTACACTTGATTACGCCCCTTGCTTAGATGTCTGGCGAAAATTTAACAGTAGCAACTACATGCACATTTCACTGCACGTCTCGAACTACCATCGGTCAGTCGGTTTGTCCTCTCCAGGATGCTACCTGAAAGTTTACCACTGCAAGATCTAATACAATCTCAATCTGGATGATACCCCGTCTCAAGGATTGCAGTCCACAGGATTAACACCTCGAGAATCAGGAGTTCGATATCTACACATTGCTTCTGGGGTGTGCCCTACGGTTATGGAGTAACTTCAAGTCCAGACCAGGCAGGGTTATGCATAGTTTTTTTTTTTTTTAAACTAAGAGAGACACAAAAATTCCACAGATTCTTCTCTCTTGTAGTACCCCACCAAGAGATACTTTGTTCTTTAATAATGTTCTAAGGAAAGCAGCCTTCAGTCTAGATAGCCACCACCACACCCCCCCCCCCCTTTTTCGATCTAAAATTATTTTAGCCCAGGTGTAATTCTCAGCTCACCGCACACTTCTAACGCAGTGTGCCGGAAGTTACAAATCAATGACCATGTCTTAGTGACACCCATATCGGCACGGTACAATTCTAGCTTCTCTTGCACCTGCACAACACTAAATTAACGCCACTGCTTCAAGTATGAAGCATACTTCGTATATGGTGTCATATTCATGTTTAAAAACATCACGAGATAGAGGGGTATTAAAACAAATGACTACCGACTCAGCGCGTAAGCATGCTAGCCATTGTAGAACCAGAACATCTACTTCTCTGGAAGCCAGTGGATACTTCTTCGCGTTCATCGGTTGTACACTCAAACAGCAAGTCCTGGTTGTTAATTCATTCGTGAAGTTATATCCCGAGGATCCCCCAACAAACAGCATACCTAAGGAACACACATCCAGCTTCAGAGATGAACTAGTATTTCATTTAATGATTTTTCCAGAAAATGTAGAAATTTAGACTGCCCGCCAACGTCTGACTGGTGATCAGTCAGAACTGTTGTTTCAGCGGCGGCGACCAAGTCCCAATGTTTGCACTATGCCGGGAGCTGTGATGCCAACTGAGGTCACTTTCAGTCTACGTGCACAGCATTTTCTGCTATAATTATCTCCGGGGAATCCCCGAGGTTATGAAACCATGTGTGAGATTTTGAAACACTGATACGGACGTGTAGAAGTGGGGAGAATAATAAGAAACACGAAAAAGAATTATTTTACTACTGCCACTTCCTGCAGCCAGGGAGCTCCGTGGCATGTTGTCACGTTCTTTGTCTCAGGTACTGAAGACTGGAAGGTGGTTTTCTGACAGTCAGTCAATTCACGGGTGGGTTACTACTAGCTGCGGTTCCCCGGGCGTCGTTGTAGAAAGTTAGCAAACCATTGCTGTGAATGTTATGAGTATTTACAACTCTTAAACCAGTCTCCTCTATTTTTAACAATTCTCCATAAAGTGAAATCGAAATTCAGTTAGTCACAAAATCTCGCTCCAGTGATCAAACCAGCCGCTTCTCATTAAAAATCGCTTTGATCATAAAGTTTCGGCATCCTCAGTGCTGCAGAAATCAATCTTCAAATTATTGTTATTGTTTAAAATAATTTTCAGGCGCTTTCTTGTTTGTTTCTGTAACATAGCCATTTTCGATCCATATTTCACCGATTACAAGTTGTCTACGCGTGTAGTTTGTGTTGTATGTAATTCTGGTGCCATGGAAGCATGTTTCTATACACTTCGAACTAGAAAACTATCTCATAAGGTCCGTATCTTCTTTGTGTATGTGTGTGTGTGTGTGCGCGCGCGCGCCGATGGCACTGTATTTCTATATGCAGTTTACTATACAAGTGTACAAATGTAACGTTTCTTTAGGACAACAAAATGGAACACACTAGGGAAAAAACTGGAAGTAAAAAGCAAGACGGTAAGCAGTAAAAATCGGATAGATGAAATGGATACAGAAGTAATTAAATGTAAAATGTATACAAGAACAACATCCATATCCATGAGGCCGCCCTGTTTTCAAAATTCGGTTGATGCTTGAATACAAACATTAATTGTATAGGTGTTACAAGATATGCAAATTATTTGAGTCAAAAAACAAAACGTGTGCATATCGCAAAGACCTCACACTTAACGCAACAGTATGATCGGATCAGCAACTGGTTGCGGTCTCCGAGAGACAGGGTACTGACTTTACAACATAAAATATAATTATGCGTATTTTAAAAATCTACCAGACAATGTCTGATGCTCTTCATCTTCCCCCGAAGTTGCATACAATTTCCAAAGTGCCTATTTGTCCACCTCTCCCTCCCCCCACGCATCTTATCGCTGTCTAGCTTTTTGTCGTGTACGACAAACGTTTCCGTCAGCTACATTTTAAAGAAAAAAATTCAAAATAGCATTCCTTTTAATGTGGCCAAAAAACTACAATGTGGTCGCTTGATGTCTTTCAGCAATTCCGTTTAAACTTTTAGTCTCACCGGAACCTCTCTATGACATTCTGGTTTCACAATTTAAACCGCTATAAAATAAAACACACAATTTTCAGAAAAATCCTGGCACAGGAACCGCACGAAATTGGAATGTGTTCAGAACGCAGCGCCCCTGCTGACATATATAACAACATACTCCTCATTTGTGCGGGTTCTACCTGAGAGAAATATCCACGAGCCAACAATTAATCAAGAACAAGATTGCGCAAGCAGTGTGCACACATTTGCCCCTGTTCTTGTCCATGTTTCTGACTGTGGGTCAGGGGTTCCCAATATTTATAATTCCCGACCCTTTAATACAGTTCCTTATGTTGTGGCGACCCAAAAATACAATTATTTTCACTACTTCATAACTTCAATGAATATGTGTTTTATGATGGTCCAAAGCACGTACGGCTGTAAATATAAATCTGGAGCTGGCCGTGGTCCAAAGCAACCCCTGTGAAATGGGAAACAAAAAAGGGTTGCGACCCACAGGTTGAGGACCGCTGCTCTGTGTCATTATTCCAAGAAATAAGACAATCAACTACAATGCTTCTGGAAAATACAAATAAAAAAAGAATTACTGGGGGGATTAAAGACAAACCAAAATTTGTTTAGCCACCTTAAAATGACAACACGCTTTTAAAAAACCGCACTAGAGGGACAGGTCAAGGGTAAGAGGTAGATAACGTTTTGGGTCGGAGCTGCAACCAAGAAAAGAGACAGAGCGTGTTGACATTTACTGCTGCTGGCCTTCACTGTGTAGACGGAATCTGTCTAAAGACATTCTAAGCATTTTAGTCCCTGGGAAATGATCAGTGAGGATTATAATTCCAGATTCAAAGGTGTTCCGATCTCCTCAACAGCCCCACAAGCGCACACTGTGCCCTTTGTGCAATGCCCATTGCAGCTCCAGTTTGCAACTCTCCGTCCATTAGCCTGCACAAGGATATAGAGTCATGTCTGTGCTGTATTTGTCTCAGTCATGTCTGCCACTCACAGCATAAAAGGGACACTATCGGCACTAAGTGGTTAATCAGACACAAAAATCTAGTCATCTTTTTGTGAGATGAAATTGTTCGCTATTTTTAAGCCCCACCACCCTGGCTCTAGCCAGGAGCCGCAATATAGCCCGACCATAAATATGGTCTAATGGTTGAACGCGGTTTCCGCGACCTCTTCACGGGTGATCCTCATCGACATGGTGGCACTTTGTGTCATCGGGTGTGTATCGCTTGTGTGATGTCCTGGTGGGGTAAAATGTACTAATACTACTACTAGGTGGGTAATGTGGTCTTTGTACCAGCTGAAGGCTGGGTTGACCTGGCAGCAAAGGTCATTAAAAAAAAAGCCCAGCTCCTTCAGCACTTGAACCCACGACCGACGGATCCACAGGCCAGCTACATCACGACGGCGCCCTAATGCTCAAAATGGCTCCCTAATACTCATTAACGAACAGATATAGACAATTTATTTCATGCGAACGAAAGAAGAAGAATTAACGAACACAGTGAAAAAGGGGTCTCTAATAATGTCCATTTCCAATAGCTTTATCCCTGGTGTGTGGCGTGATGGGCTGCACGTAGACTGTATAAGAGAA